AAAGAGAGCTTAAAATTACCTGCTTTCCCTGAAACAATAAGCCACTTGGCATTTTCACCTTGGCCAGGATTTCCATACATTTGGAGGGCAGTTCAAATGGTTTTCCGTCAAAGAGGGTTAAAACAATAAAAGAGGATAAAACAAATTGAACAACCTACACTGGCTTTCCAACTGAAAACTGTGTGTCCTGAAAATATGATGAACAGTGGAAGCTTTCCCTGGCAGCTAAACCATCAATGATTTTCTCTTGGTGCTTTTCTGACTGGGAACGTAATTCCTAAGCAGTTCTTGCAATAATCAGAGTAGGAGCCAGCAGTAAAGGCAAAAAAGTCCGTTTGCTTGCAGGTTTGCTATAGTTGCTGCTAGTTTTCACCTAATGAGAAGAGAGCCTCCTGTGAGGACCAAAGCTCTCATCACATCAGGAGCAGTGGTAAGAAAAGTCTGGCAAAAGCTCTGAAACCACTGCCGACTTCAGAGGAAAACACACAGGATCGACCCTTATGTGTCAGCCTCAGCTGCTGCTCTCTGATTTATTATGAGCAAGGTGGTTTTGATAGTCACAGTCAGCTCCAGATGTGTGTCTAAAGGACAATAGCATTGTCTTTGTGGAGAAGGAGTTAACCTCCTGCTTCAGGTTCTGTGACGGGACTCGCCTCTGACTTGCCATAAAGAGAGCAAAATTATTCACTATATGCTGATGTGCTGGCCTGTTTTCCCAGCCTGTTGAATAGCAAACCAGTTCAGTTTTAAGCTAGACAATTCCAGTTTTCTTAATGATGTTCTATAGATTCTCACTGCTGCTGGCCAACAACCACCTCTCTTAAAACCAGCGTCGCTCTCATCAGGTTGGCATGCTCTCCAGTGCTTGTGCAAAAGGGGCAAGAGTTTAAAAAAAGAGAAGAGTCATCACTGTGTGGATTCTGCTGCAATTCAGTGATTGCCTCAGCAGGAGGATCTCAGTCCACATCAGAATGCAAGTTCTCCAGGGCCAGTCGTCTGTTCTGTTTAGCAGGAAGCTTTTAATTAATGGTCAAAAATGAGAAATGGTCATTGCATGTCCATGTACCCTCCCGAGTGTGAAATCACAGAGGCATAGCTGAGGGTAGAACTTAACCCTAACACTTTATTAGGTTGAGAGTTTACCAAGTATGCAGCATACATTCCTGAAAATGTCATGTCGCTATATGCTCTTGTCCAGTAATATGTGGAAAAAGGACCCTAGGGTAGGCATCTTCTCTTCAGGGATGTCAGCATCCTGACTAGAAGCAATGAAA